TATATATATATATATATATATATATATAATTTTAGTGCAATCTATTTCAAAAGGTTTATCATATTTTTAATATTCTTTTATATTATCGGAGAAAAGCAATTTAATTAATGAAACAAGTGGAAAATAAAATACTGATGAGGCTACTCTTTTTCAAACTCATCTTATCCGATTAATTACTTATATTATTAGTGTAATAAACAATAAAATTGACCAGGTTACGGCTATAAAACATGAAATTGGAATCTTCATTATTTTATTTTAACTCCAAATTATTTTCTTATATTGATTACGTAGAGTAAACGTTTTGGCCGGCTCTAGAGCCAAGTTGTGAACGAAAGAAGTATAGATTCCCTAATTTTCAAAGCAGAGAGAAAATAAATAATAATTAAAACACAATTTGCTCTAAAATTTTGGTATTTAGTCTTTACTTTTATAAACTTTTCCCTTTCTTTCTGATTGACCATTTCTTCCGTTTACGTTTACATCAAAGCAAATGAATTAATTATTATTAATGTACTTGAATTAATTGTGTTGATTATGTGAATTTATTAGGTGAGAAATAATCTGAACCGTTCACGTTTCCAATAGCTAGAACGTGATTGATTCATTTGCCTTATTTTTTTTTCAAGCAATATACATCTTCATAATCAGATAAGCTTTATATTTTCACTGCCTTTTCAAGCCTCCTTTGTTTGTATCTTTGGATGTTTTGGGATATGATTTCGTGGAGGATGACATTTTTTATATTTTTTATTTTTACTTTCATGCTGAGCCGCAGTCACAAGCAATTCTATAAGATACTTTGGCCAATTTCATATATAATATACAGAAAGGGATAATGGATGCATCAATATTACTATTAAAAAGATTATTTTCCCGCAACGCTATCAAATAATTGGATTATGACCACTTGGGTCATGAGTATTCTGGAAGTTGGGAACAAATATATATTTTTTTTTTCCTCTTTTGAAATCGCTTTAGATGTGTGAATTAATGAGACGAATTTATAAAAGTATTACTTATTTTACAGTTCTACTATCTGTAAATAATTTTTTGAGAATACATATGTGACGAAAGCTAGGAGAGACGGATAAATAGAAGGATAAGACATAGGTGCAATATTATATAGTTTTTTTCTTCAATAAATTAAAAATACAACCTGTGTGATAATTATTACAAGTGTTATATTTTTATCAATCACGAGCCATAACTTGTGTTTTTATTTAGAAAAGAAAACATACTTATAAAATGATACCTAAGTCTTGTAAGCAAGATTAAACTAAAAATCGTCGAAAGGAAGACCTACGTTAATACAAGAAAAATAAAGACGGGAAGGTTTGAATGAAGAAAGAGCTTAAAAAGGTTGACGTTGACCACCTGAGCTCATACTCCTCCTTTTAGATGGAAAAAACTGTCGAAAATCACCGTGAGCCACAGTGTGAATGTGAACATGCCATTCATTCAAAGCCAATCCCTTCAAACCAAATTGTTGTTGGACGGTGGCCGCGAATCCACCGTCCGTATCATGGTAAGGCGGTTTGGCCTTTCGTCGGCCGGCTCCCACCGGTACGTTACGAAGGGCTCCGCCAGCTGTCCAATACCTCTGGCAACCTTTACAGAAATGTCTAGGCTGATTAACATTGTAGTTATTGAAATAACAAAACTTGGTTTCCATGCTATTGCATCTAGGGCATGGAATGATCTTATCTGGCCTCTTTTCTTCTGTTCCATCATCTTCACTCTCGTTTTTATCTTCTTTTATCTCTCTACCACACAACATAATCGTTGTCCCAAACAACTTAATCCCTTCACTGGCTTGGCCACTTTGTACTCGAGCCATTCTAGAGAAAAAGAGAGAGAGAGAGAGAGAGATTATTCTTAATGAATAAGGTAGGTTTTTAGGTTGGGATTGAGGAGGAAAATTTGTGAAGGTGCATTTATATATACATAGATATAGGGCAATAAAGCTAAAAGTGCATAATAGTTAGTACAATCATAAACCGTGGGTGATGGGTCAGTGGCAGAAAGTCCATGTGATAAACGCCAAATGCAAAATGAAGGTGGAATATAAAGTACGTTGCCAAGAAAAGGGGAAAAGAGGAAAAAGTTTAAAAGGGTTTGAGAATAGTCATGGAAAAGCTATGGATGAAAGCTTTTTGTACACATCAGTAGTCTACGTCATGATCATGCACTGCTAAAATGTATATACATACAACTCTGGCCCAATCCAGCTAGATCGCTTACAAATTTAAGTGTAAAATTAAGGTTGTGAATTTTATATATATAGAGAAAGAAGAACGTATCAACTATCAAATAAGAGCATCTCCCTAAAAAAGTGAAGGTTGTTAACTCTTTTTTTTAATTGGTCATACTATATTAAATCAAATTTAGATTTTTAACAATTTTTTTAGTGTTTTAATTATTTAAGAATTTAAAACGAGTCTTGCATACATCATAAAAAAAATAATCCAAAATATTATCTCATAAAATACATTTAATTTTAAATAATAAATATATTTTTAGTTTCTATAATATAGTTATTTTTCAACTATGATATAAAGTGGGTGATTAATTATCATTTGAAACCATAAATACACGTAAAATATGTATTATCCACTCAATATAGGTTATTTTATATTCTAGATTAGGATTCAAAATTTGGGCAACTTGTTATAAAATAATCAATTTATGATTTTAGTTTTTATAAAGTTTTATAACATGAATTTTCATATGGGTTAGGTATCATTAATCTCTATATGATGAGAGAGAGGAAGTGACTTGTTGTGTTTAAATTCTGCCAGCTCAAAGATATTATATATACTAGGCTAAAAGGAACTTCTAGCCCCCTCTACTAGAGCTGTCAAAACGGGCTACTTGACTCACTTTAAAAACGAGTAAACCCAACTTGACTCACTTTTCATTTTTTTAAAAAAAAAATTGGCCCAGCCCGGCCCACCACGGGTTGGTGGGTTATACGGGCCAGCCCACCAACCCACCAAAAATTTTAAAAAAAAATTACCAACAAAATTCAAAATTTTAAATTAATTATAAATTAACATAATAGTCATAAAATTAGTTACATCATTAATAGTCATAAGTCATAATTCATCATACAAAATTAAATACAAATCATGATAAAAGTCTAAAATAAAATTTTTTAATATCCCATCATACAAAATTAACTACAAATCATACTTAAATTTTTATTGCAAAAAAAAAAAATGGTGGGTTGGTGGGCTACCCGGCCCACCACGGATTTAGCCCGGGTGGGCTGGGTTGAGATATACTTGGCCCGGCCCGGCCCATTTTCAAGGTGGGCCGGGTTGACCCACGAGTTCCACTTTGACGGCTCTACCCTCTACCACCTTAAGTTTCTTTAAAAAATTCGGTAAAGAGAGACACTGGAATATTCTATATTAAATAATATTTTTTTGAGACGTCTAAATACATTGCTTGTTGATCTTAATGGATAATTAAGTAATGAATTATGTAGAGAATGGTTAGTTATTTGTTTAGACAAGTTATTAATTAGTTGTTGCTATCCTCCCGCGAGCGAGTGTATCATACGTACACCACAACATAGAAATGTTTAGTGTCCGATACAATCAAAGCACGATTCAAGTTTTCTTTGGAAAAATCTTTTAGGGTTTAGGGTTTAAAAGAGAAAAATAAAATAGTAAAAAGATAAAATCAATTAAAAAAATTTATAAGTTAAAATCAAATTATATATCTTAGTATTTTAAAAATAAGTTAGATGATTATATATATATATATATATATATCCACTAGTTATATATCCACGTATATATATATATATAAAAGAAGGAATCTATTTACTTTGAGAATAAGCTTACCTGGAGTTACTTTATTTAATAATTTATATTCTACATTAAATTTTAACAATTCAATGGTAGAATTTAAAATTCTTAATATATAGATTAAGTTTGTAATTTTTTTTAAAAAAATATGAAAACTATTTGACATCTCGTTTCATTAATTCAATACAACAAAAAATACTTTATAAGAAAATAAAAAATCAATCACAAAGTCCACTAGTTATTAAAAAATTTCAAGAGATTGAACAAGTTTTTCTAAAAGAAACTTGTGCTAAAATTCCAAATGCTTTTTGGAGTAGAAAATCATTTTCAATTAATCTACTTTATGTGGAAGGCTTTCATGAAAGTTAAATTCCCACTAAGACGATGCAAATGAATAAAGAAACTCTTGAATTGTAAAAAATAAATACAAAGATTTTTAAATAAAAATTTAATAAGGCCAAGCAAATTTTCCTAGAATTGTGTAGGCTTCTATGTGAGAAATGCTTCAAAAATAGAACGAGGAGAACCTTGTATGGTTATTAATTACAAACATTTAAATAATATTTTAAAATGAATTAGGTATCTTTTTCCTAATAAATAAGATTCGATAAATAAGCTTTATCAAGCAACAATTTTTTCAAAGTTTGTTATGAATTCTAGATATTATCAATTTAAAGTTAAGGAAGAAGATAAATATAAAATTGTTTTTAAAATTCCTTTTGAACATTATGAATGGGACGTAATGTCAATGTTTTTAAAAAAAATGCTTCTTTAGAATTTTAAAATTTTATGAAAAATATTCTAAACCCTTGTTCTGAATTTTCTATGGTTTATCTTGACGATGTCCTAATTTTTCTACATCAATTGAAAAACAAAATATTTAAATACTTTCAAAAGAAACTTATTAAGCAAAACAGAGTTGTTATTTTTACTAAGAAAATGAAAATAGCCCAAACAAAAATACAATTTCAAGGTCATGAAATTTTCCAAGGAAAAATCACACCTATTAAAAGAAGTATCGAATTTGCTAACAAATTTCTTGATGAGATAAAAGATAAAAGTCAATTACAAAGATTTTTAAGAGCTTTAAATTATGTAGCATATTTTATTGTCAAATTAGGATTATTTGCAAACCTTTGTTCAGTAGATTTAGAAAAATCCTAAACCCTGGACTCTTGAATGGTCAAATGTAGTGAAAGAAGTTAAAACTTTAGTTAAGTCTTTCCTTGTTTAGGAATAGCTAATCTTGACGCCTTTATGACAGTACAAACGAATGCTTCAAAATTAGGTTTTGGAGGCATTTTGAAACAAAAAATTAGGAAATGACCCAAAACAAATAGTAAAATTTCATTATGTAACATGGAATGAAAACCAACTTAAATACAATGCTATTAAGAAATAAATTTTATCTATTGTCCTATGCATTACTAAATTTTAAAATGATTTGATAAATAAAAAGTTTTTACTTCGTATTGATTGCAAGTCAGCTAAATTTTTTTTAGAAATAAGATGTTAAAAATATTGTTTAAAAACAGATTTTTGCAAGATTGCAAAGTTTGTTATCATGTTTTGATTTTAAAATAGAATTTATTAAAGGAAAAAATAATTCAATTTCAGAATTTTTAACTAGAGAATTTTTACAAGGAGATGAGACCAACCACACCACAGCCCTCTAAAGGTTTGTCCTTAGGCGACTTTGTCCCATCATTCTCAAAAATTACTCACAAATTACCCCAAAACCTAACACCTCTAAAACTAGAAAACTACTAAATACCTTAACTACCTTCGATTCTACCGTAGGAATTTCCAATAAATTCACTCTCCTTGATAATCCTGAACTAACAACCCAATATACAACCTCAAATAAATCTCCAATAGAATTCATTCTTTAAGACCAATGCCAAAAATTTATATCAATGGAAAAGAAATTTGAAGAATTAGAACCATACAAATTTATCTCTAAATTATCTCCAAAAAAGGGTGGGATCGATACCAAAAGATCAATCCCTAAAGAAAAATAAAAAAGTTATCAATTTATCCTAATAGATACCCGATCCATAGAAATTACCCTATAATTTGACAAAAAAGGCCCCATGAAAATTTGCTACTCTAAGCTAAAAAATTTCGAGGTCTTAACTTATAAACATTGGAATCAAAAACCATTAACAAAAAAAAAATTCTCTCGTCCCTATGATTCTCCTATTTTTAATTACTTTGATTACTAGGAAGTCTGGTCCAAAATCCTCTTTGAATTAAATCCTTATCATTCTTGGTATATTTCCTTCAAAAATGAATTACTTACAAAAATCCCAACCCAATTTCAAGATTGGTTCCATTTTAATGGATCAGTCAAAGCCACTTTTCCTCCATAAATAGTTAAGATTCATGATATGTTTAAATCAACAACACTCAACCTAGAACCTCACCTCAAACTAATTATCTTTTGTTCAAGATGAGTGTAAGTTGGTTAATGTAGTATAAGTATGAATTTCACCAACATTTAATAGCTCCTTATCCTAAGGTTTTATGCCTTAAGGCTAAGGTATACTAGTGGAAAAAATTCAATATTTTATACTTAGAAGAAAAATACAAGAATTGGAAGAACGGATCAATTATAGGCTTTACATCACCCAAAAAGAAAGCTCTTGAATTATCACCATTAAAATTGAAAGGATTATTCAATAAAAAAATTAATAGCAAAGCTAAGGACAACTTTATATTCATTAGATTCTGATGAAAAATAAGAAGATCTCAATGAAAGAACTAGCAATCCTAATCCTTATCTTCAAAATAGGGATGATTTTTTTGGAATAAAATTCACTCAAAACTTGGATGATTGAAGGTAGATCTTAAAAAATATTTGAATTTGTCTCTGTATATAATTATTGTCGAATAAATCAACCTTACAAAATATCTTTCATTATGAATGAAATACAAGCAATATTGCAAAAAGAAATATGAAAAGGAAAAGAAAAGAAAAAGAAAAGAAAAGCTCTAGCTAGCTCAGAAGAAAAGAATTCAAAATTTTTGTTACAAGAAGACAAAAGTCACTCTAAGCAAGAAAAAAATCTTATCCAGAAAAAAAAAATAATTTGAATTCAACATTTGAATTTTTTTCCCTTGTAATTATAAAATAACCCTTAGTTGTATGAAAAAGGTATCGATCAGCTTACCTATATTGAGTCTTTATTCTCTCCCTTTCTTAGTAGTTTCTTTGTAACTTTTCTTTATGGAATTTCTACTTGTAGTTAGAAATACTTTGTAAGTAAAAAAAAAATATTTTCATTCTCTCTTTTTTTGTCTTGGTTGATGTGCCAAAATTATTCTAAATATTTTGTTTTGGAAATGCATATTCATGTTAGAAACATTAAAGAAGAGCATGAATTATTAAT